CATCTAGCAATATTTGCCCTCTCTTCTTTGCAGAACTGCCCAAATTCAGTTAAATTTGATGGTGAGCATTTACGGTCTGCAGTCTTCAAGCCATTCCACAGATTTTCAGTGGGCTTTAAGTCTGGGCTCTGACTAGGCCATACAAGGACATTCACCTTTTTCTCCTTTAATCACTGTGTGGTCAGTTTTGCTGTGTACTTTGGGTCATTGTCATGTTGGAAGGTAAACCTTCTTCCCATTGAACACTTTGCCTCATCCATTTTTCCTTCTGTCCTGACAAGTGCTCCAGTCCCTGCTGCAGAGAAACACCCCCATAACAGGATATATCCACCTCCATGCTTTACTGTAGGAATGCTGTAATTTGGATGGTGAACTGTTCTGGTTTCGGACACCACTAAAAATGGCTGTTCCCTCAAATAGTGCCCTATTTAAGGGTATAGGGGGCGATTTCGGACACAGCCTTGGTCTCTTTCCTCCTGGCTCTTTCATCCAGTTTGGAGTGACGTTCTGATCCAGGGAGGGTCTGTGTTGACCAAATACCTTCCACTCCTTAATAATAGACTTCACTGTGCTTCTTGGCATTTATGAAGCCTTTAAATAAAAATGTTATCCATCTCCTGACTTGTGCCTGTCCACAACTTTATCCCGGAGATCTTTTGACAGTGCCTTGCCACCCATAGTTGATTGTTTGCTTCAGTTGCACTACACAAGAACTGGAATTCTCCAGGAACGCTCTTTTCATGCTGAAGTAATCAAAATGAGCCGATCACAGTTGAAAGTCGAATGGCTTTGTGTGCCATTGAGAAGTAATTAGCTACACCTGATTGAGTTTACAGGTCATTTTTAAGAGGGGAGTGATCCTTTTTTCCAACTCAGTGATTCTATTTTTCTATTTTATTTTTATCTTTCACTTGGATGTTAGCAGTAAATACAGCTGGATAAAACAAAAACTGTGTCAGTCTTCATTCCAGGCTGCAAAGCAACAAAATGTGATGATTTTAAAGGCAACAAAATTTTATTATTTTCTATACCCACTGTACATATATTTACTTTACAATATCCCCATTTTTTGTGTTTTTTATTGTTGTAGTCTAATGATAATTTAGTTATTATTGTATCGAAAATCCGAAATAGAACAATTATAACATTTTGAATATTGGCTATCTATCAGATGCCTAAACATAATAAAAAAAATGTCCTCTTACCTCTTAATGCTCTGACACCAATAGCAGCATATAGAAAAGCATATATAAAAAAGTACAATGAAGTATAAGTGCACCAGCTGTCCAGAACTGACTTCATTGTGACTTTCTAAGCCTCCTTTTTCCTTCCGTCTCACAATTAACTGTCAAATGTTTCAAAATTGATGGGACTTGATACTTGATAGTTTCTGTTCCTAACTAACTATGGGTCTCTGTCTGCACTGATGGACTAAATAATTCCCTTGGTTTGATAGCGTTTGCTCTGAGTACTATCCTGTCTTCCACAGCTTAGGCTTAGTCAAGTGTTTGATTGGCTAGGAGAAGACAAACGTAGTCTCAGAGGATACATTTCTTTCTTGATTGTCAGTGGGGACCTTACTGCGGTGCAGATTAATCAGAGGGATTTAATTAACTTGACCCTGTGCGCACATTAAACCTGGAGACAAGACAGGCTATAAACTCACCCAATTATCTTTAGGTGTAAGTGTAAGTCTGTGTTTTCGTCTTAAGGTGAGAAGTCCACACCTCGGAGAATGCGTATCACCCGTGGACATCCTAAACTCTGCTGTACCACATAAATATATTTAAAGTGTTTAACGGATAATATTTCTAGACATGCATTATAGTGGCGTGAGTCTTAAGCAAGGAATGCAGATATTCACAAACACACACAGGCATGTACTACTCACACCTATGGTACACTTAATGCTGCGTACACCACTGCAGTGGCCGCTGTTTCTCCACCACATCACCATGGCAACCAAGACAATGATTGCGCAAGCCTGTAAATGTGTTATATTTGAGGCGTTTGATTCACAATCTCTGTATGAGTGATTCACAGCATCAGGCATTTAGCTTTTCCGGTTGTCTGTATGTCATTGAAGCAGTCATAGGTTGCTATACTGTAGCTCTCTGCTGTGCCCTATGGATATCTCAGTCCTCAGTATCAGCTCTTTACCAAGTGACCTTCATCTCACCTTGTTCCTTAGCTGGAGCCACACAGACAGCAGCCCACTCTCCCCAGCTCTCTTCTGCACAGAATCGCATGGAGGACTGCAGGCAGCTAGCCTGATGCACCATTAGCATCTGTGAGCACTAACTGAGTCTATTTCTTGTTTTTGACAGAACATGGATAAGACCCAGCTTCCATCTGTGACTCTGATCGTGGGCTGCGGGGTCTCGTCCCTCACCCTACTCCTCCTCATCATCATCTATGTGTCTGTTTGGAGGTAAGCAAGACTTTCCGCTGATGAAACACAATCTGGCTGTTCACCAGTAAAAGAAACTTACTTGATGGGAAGCAAAAGGGGTTTCAGCACCATGGACAGCGACATATATTTGTGTTAAACGCTTTGGGATGCTTTGGAGTTTGAGATTCAAATCAATTGTTTGACGTGATGTAATCCTAAACAAGTCAGGTTGTTATTTACTATTCATGTGGTTATTTTTGAAAGACTGATCAGCTAGGCCAATTAATGCCGATAATTGTTCTCAATTGGCCCATTAACAAAAGTGGTCATTCTGTCTAGTGTCAGTTCCAATAACTACCAACAGCTTAGTCCATGGTCAGTACACATTTTTAAATTATTTTGTAATTTTTTTTTTTAAATAAATTTTATTTAGAACTTTCATTTAGCAGAAATGTATTGATTGATCAAAAATGACAGTATAAACTTTAACATTGTTAAAAAAATTCAGTTTCAAATAAATGCCGTTCTTTTGAACTTTGTTCATCAAAGAATCGTGAAAGAAATGGATCACATTTTCCACAAAAATATTAAGCAGCACGACTGTTTTCAACATTGTAGCATAATGATAAGAAATATTTATTGAGCACCAAAACATCATATTTGAATGAATTCTGAAGGATCATGTGACACTGACGCCTGGAGTAATGATGCTGAAAATTCAGCTTTGCATCACAGTAATAAATTACATGTAATTTTTTTTTTTATGGAAAGCAGTTATTTTAAATTGTAATAATGTTACCAAGTATTCCTGTTCAAACACCTGTCAAATTCCCAGTTCATTTATTTATTTATTTTTTGATCAGTTAATGCAGTCTTCTTTCAAAACCATTAAAAAATTTACAGAGTCTGTATACAGTACAGAGGGATCCTTGCTTATACTCATGTTTTGCATTTACACATCCTAATTTTTTTCATACAAAACATATTTGAAATAATTAAAAGTGTGCAAAAATGTCTTTTTTTTTCTTTCTCCATGCTATTTCTTCCTTTGCATCTTGAGCTTCAATGATCTGTACAGATGCTTTCACTTGGTCAGTGTCACATCTTGGTCGCCACTAGAAATTATACATCAGTTCAGGTTCCATTAATGTGTCCATGTATTGAAAGCATTGTGGCTGAATGATAGCGAGCAATAGATGTCATTTAGTTGTATTGGCTCAGTGTTTCTGGGTTTTTTCTTCAGGTACATCCGCTCAGAACGCTCTGTCATCCTCATCAACTTTTGTCTGTCCATCATCTCCTCCAATGCACTCATACTCATCGGACAAACTCAGACACGGAACAAGGTATGGCTAAACAAACACAAATAAGTTGATTAAACCCTTGCTCTACAATAAATATTTTTAATCTTCCTCTTTTCTTCTTTTTACATGCCATCCTTACCTTTGATGGATGGACTCTCTTTTTTCGCTCTTACTATTTTCTTGCTCTTAGGTTGTTTGTACTCTTGTGGCTGCATTTCTGCACTTCTTCTTTCTGTCCTCTTTCTGTTGGGTTCTCACGGAGGCATGGCAGTCTTACATGGCCGTGACTGGCCGTCTTAAAAACCGCATCATACGCAAACGTTTCCTCTGCCTTGGTTGGGGTGAGGCTTGTGTTGCATCTTCATTTATAATCTGTTTCTTCTGAAAAAAAAAAAATCACCCAGCTGGGTAGTTGATGTAAAATTTCACTTAGTTTCAGCAGCATAGTTTGGTACTACATGCTATAATCTAAAAATGGTAGCACTTTATTTTACAGTACGTGTACTTAGTGCCATTGCAGTTAACTTGCCTTATCTTTAACGACACTGATTCTCTTAAAGGGGTCATAGGATGCTACATGCATTTTTTAATGTATATACATGGTAAATATGTAGTACTTACAGACAAGTGGGTAGAAACAGGCACATCCTTACAGTATCCGTATATGGCAACTAATAAGACATTTACTATGTACGTACTGGTGTATGTACCTATTAGTTAATGTACAGAGTAAGTTATGCGGTACTCAAGTTGTGGGGTATAAACATGGACCAAGGTACTTATTGAGTAATTGATGGTAGGTGCCATTGCAGTTAACTTGCCTTATCTTTAACGACACTGATTCTCTTAAAGGGGTCATAGGATGCTACATGCATTTTTTAAAGTTGTTTGAACTGAAATGTGTGTTGGCAGTGTGTGTACACAACCACCCTATCATGATAAAAATCCACCCAATGGTTTTTTTTAATCTACTAAAATCTTTACCCAATCTGGTTAAATGTTTTCCCCTTTCTCAAATCGAGCCGATCTCAGATGCCTGTCTGTGTGAACGTCACAAAAACAGGCCCCTCCCACGATAGTTTGATTGACAGTAGCGTTTCAGCACAGACTGGACTGGCGTCTTACCTAAGACCCGCCCTGAGTGAGCTGTCATCAGTCCGCATTTGTTTCACCGCCGGAGTAGATGTAGACAAGAATAACTTCTAAACGATTGAGGTGTTCTGTTGTTGGATGTAATGATGAACATAGCAGTCGTCATTTACTCCCGACATCTGAGCCGCTGAAGACGCAGTGGATTACGTTTGTTTTTGAAGGGAATGCGCCCCCGATCTACCTAAATGTGTCTATGTTCGCGTGAATCATTCGTGATCCAGCTTCACCTACAGAAGTGAGTATAAGGTTTTTTAATGAATCTTTGCAAATCGCCTTTCCTAATAATGTGCTAATTAGCAAGTTTCATGATGAATGCAGCTAAAGTAAACAGTCCCTCAGAGAGCGGCTCGGAAGAGAGGGGTGGGGTCAGTAGAGCTCATTAACATTGAAAGGAAAATACTACAAAATGGCTTGCTCTGAAAAGAGCTGTTTTTGACAGGGTAAAAAAGGTGTTTTTTACACTACCATTAAGACATTTTAACCAAACTATGTTACAGACTTTTCAATAAGACCCTAAAGAATCACATCAACTTGTGGAAAATGGGCATCCTATGACCCCTTTAACCAATGCAATTGGGTTACATTGCAACAAAAAAAGCTTTGTAGCTACAGATTCCCTCCAACAGTTTGGAAGCGCTGTAGACGTGAGGTTTCAGACATTATCAATAGCATAAATCCTTATCTAGAAAAGATTTGCACTGATAAGTGACAACGCAAAGTTTGAACACATTAAAATAATGAATTTAGAACACAGAAAAATATTACAGCTATTTATAAATGATCTCTAAACTATGTACTGATTGGTCTATTACATACTAAGCTTAATTGGCAACCAGTCAGATAAATAAACCTGGGCCATTTTAATCCAGTAATCAAGCATTAGATCTGCCAAAGGGGCACGTATACGGTATGACTGTGATGTGTGTATATTGCCATTATTACAGTATGTAATCAAAATGAAATCATTATTGCTGATCTTCAGTGATTACTGTAAGAACTTTACTGCCTTTATGCCCAGAAATGATAAGGATGGTGTCCAAAACACAAACTGATATTGTTCAAAATATTGTCCTTTTGGACGGCACTGTATACTGTACATATTTCAGCAATAAAATATTTGGCTATAGTATGCCAGTGTTTCCTAAACAAGAGTTAATTCATTAAATCACAAAATGTAAAATTAAAATAATAACATTATTTTGAAATAAAAACAATTAAAATAAACCACTTACTAAAAAAGATAAAAGATGTTGAGTTTTTACCTGAATATAACCATTAACCAACATCAAAGAACTGTGTGTGAACATGTGAATGGTTTGTTAAATTATTGAAATATTAACTTATAATCTATATGGTGGTACTTTAGGAAAATACTGTAACTCTATGGGGCTTGAATATGACTCTGTACTCCTTTAAAACACTATGGCACAGAATTCACCTCAGCACTTTTCTTAACAACCTCTTTTGACTTTGCACTTGAAAATTTGGCTGATCCTTGACTGATCGCAAACAGCAACGCAAAGCTGATTTTGCACTAATTTAATCTAATATTTAATATTCTTTAAAGTGTTGTAGATTTATGTAGCAAAAGTCAAATTATTGACTATATTTTGAGACAAACGTCTTGTTAATGTTTTTCAGTTTTGTTTAAGGTAAGTAAAGCAACGGTTCTTCAATAACAGAAGAATTTGAAAGTATGGTATTTGGGGGTAAAAAGCACAGTAATTTGACTAACGACACAATAATTAACATCATAATAAATAGCTGGCTGACTTTTCCATTTGTTGACATGCCATGGTTAGATTCAGGTGGTAAATATCATATATTAAGTATGATTGTTTCATTATAATCACCATATTTATAATGAAACAATCATATTTGAAAATATGATATTAATCATATCACATAATAAAGTATCATGCTGTACCCGACTATTGTGGTTATTGTTAATATTTCTGTTTTCACTTTAATTTTAGTTAAAGTTTTAGTAATTGTATTGTGTTTTTGACATTTGTATTACTTTTTAAATGTCTATATAGTTTTTATTACTTTTTAAATGATTATTTTAGTTTATTTAGTTGGAGTTATGTTAGTACCTCAACTTAAACCAAATTAAAATGTCACCTTTTTGAAAAATGGAAACTAGCTGAAATCAAGTATGTTTTGTTTTTTTCATATTTTATTTCAGTTGATGTTTCTTTTATTTCAAGTAATGAAAATGTTTTTATTATTATTTTTTATGTTGTAGTTTTAACTATAATAACCCTGCTTGGCTGACAGAAATGTTTGGAAGTCATAAATATTTGTGACCCTGGATCACAAAACCAGTCATAAGGGTCAATTTTTCAAAATTGAGATTTATACATCATCTGAAAGCTGAATAAATGTATTGTTTGTTAGGATAGGACGAAATTTGGCTGAGATACAACTATTTGAAAATCTGGAATCTGAGGGTGCAAAAAAATCTAAATATTGAGAAAATCATCTTTAAAGTTGTCCAAATGAAGTTCTTAGCAATGCATATTACTAATCAAAAATTAAGTTTTTATATATTTACGGTAGGAAATTTACAAAATATCTCCATG